TTAATTATCCACCCTGATCCGTTTTTTATAAACTGATCAATGAAGTTTAAAATTGTATCAAAAGCATTTGTTAACCTTTCATCAATCATTTACTGAGAATTGGCGCGCGGGGTTATATAGAACCCCCAGGGTCTTTAAACGCGTGTAATTTTAAAAATTTTTTGTGCTTAAAAATAATGCCCTCAGTACCTTCCTTCCATGGTGTAAAGATCGCACTGATAAAATTTCAATTTTGCACGAAAAAAATTTTTTGCATAGACTTATAACGGAAATCAGTGGGGTGCTATAGTACCCCGCGCGCTTAACGGTGTAATTTTTTTCGCGCGACTAACGGAGGTGGGTCGATCTGACTTCGTGTTTTGAGGGAAAGCTTATTGGTTGATATAGAGTCAGTCATGATAGAAATGACCAATTAGAGCATAAAAGGCGTAAAAACAGAATTTTTAAAGCCAATAATCGGCAAAAAAGTTTCCCATAGACTTAACATTGACAGTTTGAAAGGTGGCGTTTTTTGGCGATATGTATTGCTAAATGGTGTTAAAAACATGTTTATTCGTCTAAATAATGTCAAGAGACTTATTGTTAGCAAATTAGAAGTAGAAAAAAAAATTAAAACACGCGATTTTAAAGCGATTGTTTACATACTTCCATGTGGTGGCCTTCGGGGGCGTGGCATTTCGCAGGAATATTTTTAGCAATTGTTTTTATAAGTCGATCTAATAACAGACATATAAATTAACCAATTACAGTGCAAAAGAAGTTTACTATCGATGTTATCTGCCAATAATCTCCATTTTTACCTCTACTTGCTGTGTGATTTTACATGGTGTTTTTTTGGAAATATTGAGATATTTTTGGCCCGGGGTTTGGTACAAAGAATTTAATTGTTGTAACAGTTAAAAAACACATACAGGAAGACGATTGACAGCTTAGATAGCATCAGACTTGTTTACAGTTTGTAAAATACACTCTTGAAGTCGACCAATTTTTTTTGAAAAATTTCTAAAAACGGGAGACTTTCTGTTTTTCGTTACGAATAAATAAAAACGATATATTTGAAGTAGTTTTCTTCACTAATACATCAAAAACACATGCCCACAAACATCCAAAATGAAAAAATCGCGAAAAAAACTATGCGTTTTGAAAAATTGAATTTTGAAACAGG